TGCAATGATTAGACATGTTTTTTATTATTGTCATTAGTGATTATCTCAATTTCGGCTAAAAGAATTGACAAAATCCTACACACTGTGCCTTTGAGTCAGCAAAGATGGTGATTTCAGGGGTGTGTGCATCTTAAGCCATGTAGTGTTGTTTATGCGTGCATGCATCTAAGACTGCAAACAAGTCCCTGAGCCCCCACCCCACCATAGTTACTGAACTCAAAAATTATTCAACAAAGAAGCTTCAGATTATTAGTATTTTCTTTTTTTTGACAAGCTAGCATTTCTGAAAGGAGGTCTAGTGTGGTCCAGATGCATAAATTGTGCTGAAAACAGTCTTTGTTGATGTTTTACAAATCAAATATCGGTTTCACAAATCACAAACTTGGTTTTAAATATTCTGCTATAAGTGTAGAATAACCCAGTACAGGTTTGATGTATCTAAGTATTTTAGTTTTTAAACTAGAGCAGATTAAAGATGCTCAAGGTAGTGAAAAATTAGGTGGAATGGTCCTTTAGCCATTTCCTGACTCGTGAGCTTCATGTGGCTCAGTAATGATAATCTGGCAGGATTAAACATCAACAAACAGACTTATTACAGAGGAAATACAGATGATGATGTTGAACAGGAACTTTGAAGTTAGTTTAAAAAATTGAACCACAAAGAGGATCATTAAAGTAAGTTATTCAGATTGTTTTGTGATACGAGGCAGACGTCCACGTGTCGCGTTGCACTTCGAGCTCAACTGCGTTCTGCTCCACGGCTCTTTTTGTGGAGCCCAGCGGGTCTGAGCTTTATAAGATCGTGCCGTTGACTCAAGGTGCCGACTCAGCGATGCATGAAGCCGGTGCTGTGAGGCAATGGAGGACAGAAGGGGTCCAGTTTCTGAGCATTAAAGTGATGTTAGCATCATGATAGCATGTACCAAGCTGTACTGTTTTAACAAATAGGAAAATTCAACTGGAGTAGCCACCATTCAACCCAGAGAGGACAGTGCTACGATGGTTTTAGACCAAATGCTGCAGAATTAAACAAATTTACACAAAAATTTCAAAATTTGCACAGAAATATAAAAATTATACCTTTAAGATCTAATTTACATAGTTAATCTGAAAAAAGAGTGGATTTGGTGTTAAATTACTCTAAATATTTAAAGTGAACCTTTCAATCAAAATTTAGTAAATATATAAAATATATTATAGTTGATAAGTTGAAGTCTTTTTTATGTGTATACAGGTGTATTCTTTAAATA